CGACTTGGGTGAGCGGCCTAGCTCTGCCCCGTTCTGTACGCTGACACAGGGCCATGATCCTCATGTGTCAGGAGCCACAACTTGAGGGCAGAGTGAAAGCAATCTAGCTGATGTACTTCCTCATGCGCTAGCTGCAGCAGCGTTGCCAGGCTCGTGTAATACACTTGGCCTCAGGTGCCAACACAGCTGATATCTTTACGAAGGCGCTTGCGCCTAAAGATCATCAGCGGCACTGTGTACAGCTATGTCTTGTTCCTGTAGCCTCTCATTTGCTAGGACCTTGATTGTGTACAGACCTTTATATATATATTACCCTGATTGGCCTTGTGGCCTCTTCCCAGAGGCTGGACTAGTAGTGCCACCCTGGTTGTGCTCTTGCCTTGTCTGTACTTGTTTGATTGGTCTTTAGATCCCTGCCTCAAAGGCTGGACTAGTAGTGCCACCCTGAGCTGTTTCTCTTTCATTAGGCACTGCCCCTATCCAGTCTAGGGGTGTGTCAAACATACAACATATATATTGTATGTTACAGTAGACTGTATAGGGTTGTGCCTTAGGGAGTACTACCCATTAGGCTATATACCCCTGTATGTCCTGTTCTAGTCAACACTTCTCACTTTAACAGCGCGCTGCTAGCGGGTGCACTGAACATACACGGCACCGGGCCTAGGCCCTAGTTCCGTCACTGTATAAGCTACACCGAACCATTCCGCGTCACTCTGAAGCGCTCCGCGTCCTCGGATGCCTTCTCCGAAGCTGTGCATCACGCGGTTAGGATTCGCTCTGGTGTTTCTATATCTCGCCTCGTCATTCATTGTACGGACAATCTGTGAGTCTGTAATTCTGAACTTAGATACTCACTTCCGCGCTGTACTCTGGGTTTCCTTCCACCCATAACATAGATGATCTCCGCTACGCATAGACTCCCGGTGTTGGTTGGAGGAGGCCAATGACAATAGGATGAAGCTGTGCCCGGCGCACCATTTATTGAGATTGGTTGAGGTGCTCTCCGGATGAGAAGATGCTTGGGTAGGCTATTGACGTATGCTTGGGGGGTCACGCCATGAGCCACCTTAGAAGTTATGCATCTTGTGGGACAAGGCATTGGACAGACGAGGTAAACCTGTCAAACCCCTTGGACACGTAGGTAGGACAGAGAGCGTTGCATACTTGAAAATGAACTTAGGCGGGTTTCTGGTGGATGTGCTGGACGTGCAATGCGATTATTGTTATCAAGAACTGAAGACTAACACGGTCATTACGCATGTCAGTATAAATAACAGAAGCTAGCCTACGGTCACCGGAGCAACCTATCGTCTAAATGCAACGCAATCGCCTGTCTACTCTACGTCAAAGCGACACGCTAATGCTGGGGGGCACCTCGTTGCATCAGGCAGTGCGGAACATCACGCAGCGTCCTCCTCTGCGAGAGCCAGAAAGAATGCTCGTTAGTATGGGAGGACCGACCTGTAAACAAATGCTGGGAAATTTTACAATTTAAGATGCACGAACCTGAGGGTACTTGACCTTCCCCCATCTCCGTTGTTAACCCAGCCTTCCTTTGCGAGCATCACGTTATCAATAAGCATCTTGACGCACTTGTTCTTATATTTCTGCAAGGAAAAGGATATCTGTTAGCATGGAAAAACGAGATTGCGAGTAAGCAAAAAAATGCCGGAGACAAGGCACTCACGTCCAGGTTCTGCTTGGTGATCATGTGGCTGCCAATGAGAGTCGTCTCGTTCCAGACGCTGTTCGGGCTCATGAAGTGGAACATGGTTCCGCAAGACGTACGAGCTTTCTGCAGGATGACAAGCATGGTTCCGTCAGTCCATTTGCGATGAGAAATGATACTGGGTGCTTGCAGCATGTTCCCGACATTACCTTGCCCTTCTCGTTAGGGAAAGTGCACTGGTACGAGTATGCTGTCTTAACCGGCTCGCCAGTCCTGCTCTTGCACAAAATCCCAGTGGCTTAAATCAGTCGATGAACAGTAGAAAGTCCGGGAAAGATACTGCAACAATCTTGCAATAGCTCACTTGTAAATGATAGGCTTTCCCGAGAGAATCCTGTTCCCAGAGAAGACTTGAACGTTCACACTCGGAACTGTCGTGGGAGATCCTTTGATGTAAAAGTCACAGTACTGCAAGACCAAAAAATACCTGTTAGGTGTCCATGATTGGTTGTAATGTGGCTCGTAAAGTAGAAGGAACGGCTCCTTACCTGAACGGGAGATCCAGCGCAAAAGTCCGCTGCTGTCGCACCATACGAAATTCCTACCACTGCATTCAGCAAGGATTTGTGTCAGTCCATAGACTATGGCGGAGGAAAGAGATGCCAGAATAGGTGAAGTCCAGAAGTGCTAAAACAGTCTTACATGAGGCAAGGAGAACCAGAGCCAGAACCTTCGAAGCCATCGGTGCTAGTCAAAAGCAGGAGACTACGTCGATCGAAGAATCACGAGTTAAAGAAACGCTTTGATGGTGTCAAGTATCCGACAGCCTTTGTAGGGTGGTGGTGATGGTGGTATGATCAGGAGGAGGCGGAGCCAAAACAAAACTTCCCATTCCAAGCACCCACAACGTTCGGATCGCACAAGCGAAATTTGGTTCCCTCGGTTGTTTCAGCAACGCGAGGCCGCTTCGTGGGCCATTTGGTGGTTCGTCCTCATCAGACCACACCAAACCAGAGTTGCTGTGGTTCAATGGGTGACTGGCCGACAGGCCGTAACGACATTCGGCAGGTTCGCGCGTGAACCAATTCGGTTCGGCGCGCGACCACCTGCAAGCACAGAGAGCCGTTTGTGATTTCTCATTACAGGGGATAGAGTGAAGAGGTGAGAGCAAGATGCACAGTCTTCCTTTACAGCCACGATAAGAAGGCATAATAAATGGACACTTGCAAGTTAGGGATTCGATATTGTACCCCTACCGGTATTAGAGAAATTTTCTACCATGATATATTGTGTCGTTTGGGCTAGTGCAGATGGTAAGACCTTTATTATGTAAGTATTGTATGCTTTCCAAATGACTCATCGGGACATTGATTTCCCAGTGTGGATGCTTGCAGTATCAGCCACTTGCACCTGGCTATTACGAGAGATAAGGCGATGGCCACACGCAATGTGATATTATCAGGGGTTCTGGATCAGTTCAGATACATTCACAACATCGAAGGGTCCAAACCGCATCTCGGAGACTATTCAACAGATGAGATTCCATTTCGCCCTTCTTTACTCAAGCACCACCCGAGGAATCCAGCATGCATTGTTGTGAACAGGCCAACACATCCTTCCAGACAGACCAGAAAGTCTCGCCATTCCTTGCTCATATGTCACTCACCCCTGCACCACCAGAGCGACCGCTCAAGCATTCGTTTTCGCCCAATACCCTAACCAACCACTTCAGATTAATATTTGACCCTTCTGACTCGCAAAGCACCTCACCCAACCGCAATCAGACGTACGCTTAGCTCTTCCCTTGCTACAGCCTCCGCTTTCTTTTAGCTGGAAATCGAATCCATCCCTTCAAGCCATAAGAGCATCTCCTGGAGTGTTGTCTCATACTTTTCACGGAATTCGCTCTCCTAACCTCGCTGGCGTTCTCAGACCTCTCCGTTTTCTGTGTAGGAAGCACTGGAATATTCTGGATGAAGAGTGTTATGAAAATCTCGCGTTTCCAGTGAATGCTTAGGAAGCCTCAGGACCGTTATCTTAGGGACACTTCATCATCCACTGTCTCCATGTTTCGTCGCGACAAGAGCTTAGGCCTGCCAGGCTTCGGCGGAGACGACGAGGAGTACAACAGCTTAAAGCAGAAGCTCGTGTCCCCGTCCGGGAAGAGGTATGTCTTAGGGACGTTCCGTCAGCCGCTCGCGTCCATGTTTCGCCGCGACAAAGCCTAGGGCTACCGGGCGTCGGAGGAGACGACGAGTAATACAATAGCAAAAGCAGAAGCTCGTGTTCCCGTCCACGAAGGGATATACGCATATTCAGGCTTTTCAGACCTCGCAAATATCGTCACTTCACTGGTTTCGAGGCGTCTCAAATATTGTCATGTTACAGGTCTTGAAACGTCTTGTATATAGTCATGTTACAGCAGCGTGCGAATCTCGTCGTAGCGTTACACAATCCGAGTATCTTTCTGAGGATGTTAAGTCGAACGCAGAGTATGTCATTAGGATACTGAGATGTGGTCACGTAATGAGGTACAGGCTCGTTCAGTCAGAAATAGTCGGTCGTCAGTTGCCATATGTTGCGTGCCATATCTTCTCTTGTCGTCGTCGTCGTCCAATGCAGCGCTTTGGTCCCCCATTGTCTCCCGCCATGGTCGAGGAATCTCGCTTACTGTTTCTCACGCGGGTCCGCGTCGTTCCACGCCCTTCCCTTCCCTGCATCCATGCAGCCAGTGTTTGCCGCCGTCGTCAGTGTCAGCGAGTTCGTCTACGAAGGGCCAAGACGCTACGAAGGCTCAAGCTGCTTCACCAGCAGGTGCTGCGACTGTGACAAAGCCGGATGCTCCCCTGGGAAATGCAGGAACCGCGGCCATGGTTGCATCGACCAACAGACCTGTTAGTCCTATCGTCCGTCCTGCCACTCCCGGCGCGATAACTGCTCCTCCAGAGGCTTCGCCTGCGGCCGATGCGGCCAGTAAAGTGACTGGAAGCATTGAAGGAAACGCTGGTAACGAGTCCCTCAGTAACGAGTCCGTCCAGGCGGGAAGCAGCAGGGCAGACGAGATGGGGAATAGCGAGGCGAGTCTAAATGCAGGGCAAGTAGGCCTCCCCAAGAAAGTTTCATTTGCGCGTGAGCCCTCAGAGGAAACAGCTGAGGGCGTTTCTAAGGCAGCTGGCGGCCTTGCTGATGGTGACGGTGGTGATATGTCCGAGCCGGGTGGATCTTCACTGCCACCCGTCGGATCCGGACCATCTGCTGCATCTCAGCCGTCCGTTGCATCTTCGCCACCAGCAGGGAACCCCATAGAGGCAGCTATCGCGTTGACCTCGGATTGGCTGACTCGACAGGGGATTGGAGCACGCACAGCCGCTGCTTTTGACTATGCGATCAATCAGTGAGTCAATGGGTGGATGACTGGGAGGTTGAGTGAGTGAGAAGCTGGGAGCCTCTGCCTTGGTGTGGGTATATATAGGGTGAAATAGCAGCAGCAGCATTGGGTAGAAGCGTGTGTGGCAGATGTCATAGAGTTCACTGTCCTTGAGTAAGTGAAAGGGCCAGAGTGAGAGAGGGAGGGTGCGATGGGCGGAAGGGAGTGAGAGGGGGGGATGGACGGGTTAAGAGTGTGATAGGTCGAGCGGGCCAGGAGGACCCGTGAAAGTGGAAGGAGAGGGAGTGTATGAGGGGGTGGGATGCGGGCAACAGCACAAGGGCAAGGAGAGCGTATGACGATGAGAGAGATGGTGTATGAGTGGCTGGATGGTGTATGAGTGAGTGGCTGGATGGTGAGAGGATTTAGTGTTCCCTCGCCTTCCCTTGATTCTTGCCTCGCCCTCTCACCTCCATTTACCGTTCCTCCAACTCTCACGCCTTCCCTTTCCTCACCGCTCATGCCCTGCCTTCAGTCCCGGCCCCAGCATGCTCTCCCTACCCTCCTGCTCCCTGCTACTCCCACACTTACCCTCCCACTTGTGTCCCTCCCTGTTCCTTCCTACATCCGTTCCTCTGGCCCTCCGATTCAGCATGGGACCAGCAGCACAGCAAGCGGTGCAGGGCGGGCGGCAGCTGTGGGCGGCACACGGGCGGCAGGCGGCAGGGGAGATGCTCAAGTGGCCGATGCTGGCGCACGTGTGCATTGGAGTGGGGCTCACGTTTCTCCTCTGCCAAACGGGGCTCCTCCTCTCGCTGCTGCTGCTACCCTGGGCGGTGCTCTACTTCTGGCTGGTAAGGGGTGCTGGTCCTTAGCCGCATCACAGCAAGCATCGCACATGTATATGTGTAATCGCCTCAAGGCGTCGCTGCTGGCAGTCAAGGAGGCTGTGCGAAATCAGAATACCGCTTTACTGTCTGAACGTGTCAGCTTCGCCCTCCCCTTCGCATCCTTACCTTGCCCCCCGTGCAGCTGTGGTCGCACCACTACGAGCGCCTCAACGTGGCAGTCAAGGCGGCTGTGCGGATTCACAAGGCCTGTTCATGGTCTCAATGTGTGCGGCTTTGCCCTCCTCAATGTGTGAGGCTCTGCTCTTCCATTCTCGTCCCACCCTTGCCCCCCGTGCAGCTCTGGTCGCACCACTACGAGCGCCTCAAGGTGGCAGTCAAGGCGGCTGTGCGCATCGAGCAGATCATGGCACAGGTGAGACAAGCGCATCAATGCACACGCAGGCCTTGACTTGAGCCGTTTGATGAGAGGTGTGTATGTCTCCGCTCACAAGCAGACCAGGCCCAAAGCTGAGACCGCCTACTGGGCATCAGTGCTGCTTTATAAGGCGTGACCGATTTCTTTCAACGACCTGGCTTCCACTGTTCTCCTCCCCTTCCCCTATTTCCTCCCGCTCTTTGCCTCTATGTACGAGCAGACCATGCCCGAAGCTGAGACAGCCTACTGGACCTCAGTGCTGCTCTTCCTGAACGACCTGGTCTCCCCCGCCCTCCTCCTCTTCCCCTCTCTCCTCAATTTGCGTCTATGTACAAGCAGACCATGCCCGAGGCAGAGACGGCCTACTGGGCCTCAGTGCTGCTGTCCAAGGTGTGGCCGCTCTTCCTCAACGACCTGGTCTCCACTTTTCTCCTCCCCTTCCCCTCTTTCCTCCCACTCTTTGCCTCTACGTACGAGCAGACCATGCCCGAGGCAGAGACTGCCCACTGGGCATCAGTGCTGCTCTCCAAGGCGTGGCCGCTCTTCCTCAACGATCTGGTTTCCAGCAAGCTTCTGCCGAAAGTCGCTCCCTGGTTCCTCTCCCGATACATGCCACCCATGCTGGTAGGCTTACCTCCCCACCGCCCCACCCAAAGCTCGAGGGAATATGAGTCGGCTGAAAGTCGCTCCCTGGTTCCTCTCTCGATAAATGCCTCTCATGCTGGCACACACTCATGCCCTTTAGACTCGAGCCTTATGCCTTGGCGTCAAAACCTGAAACACGAATTCCTAGTGAAGGCTAACTTCGACGATACAGTCTCAGTTATGACCTGATAGCAGATGCATACTGTGTGCCTGCCATTCTGTGCCTGTGCCTGTCATTTGCCTCCCCCTGTGCCTGATGCCCGCATTCTGCCCGTCATGCAACAGGCATTGGTGGAAGTGGTGAAGGCTATTTCCGGCGACTTACAGCACATGTCATCACATGATGCCTACTGTGCGCCTGCCATGTCCATATCCCACCCACTCATGCCCCTTTCCCATATACCTTCGTGGCCCGTCCCTTACACCAGGCGAAGGTGGAGATAGTACAGGCCAACTTCGGAGACACAGTGCCTGTCATCACATGTTGTCTGCCACGTGCCTCACACGTGCATGTCCCAAAACTCCCCCCCCCTTCCCCCCCCCTCCCCATCCCTGCCTTACACCAGGCGAAGGTGGAGATAGTAAAGGCCAACTTCGGCGACACAGCGCCTGTCATCACATCAATCAAGGCGTTCAGGGAAGGAGGAGGGCGGAACCACGTGGTGAGTGCTCTGAGACGTCTCAAAATGAGATCGTTATCACACGAGGTAGTGAAGGCTAATTTCGGCGACGCAGCGTGTGCTGGTCATCACTCCAATCAAGGCATTCAGGGAAGGAGGAGGGCGGAACCGCATGGTGAGTGCTGGGAGCGTTTGTTGAGTGCGGGCTGGGAGCGTGCGTTGAGTGCTGGGAGCATGCGTTGAGCTTGCAGCATCCTTGAGTGCTGGGAGTGTGCGTTGAGAGTGTTGGGAGCATTCGTTGAGTGCTGGGAGCATGGGGTGAGTGCTGGGAGCATGCGTTAAGTGCTGGGAGCGTTTGTTAGGTGCTGGGAGCATGTGTTGAGTGCTGGGAGCGTTTGTTGAGCTTGCAGTATCCTTGAGTGTTGGGAGCATGCGGTGAGTGTGTGCGCTCGTACTTTCTCCCCTTTCCATGTATGTGCTCGGTTCTGAGTCTTTCTTGCCTCCCATTACTCGTGATGATTCCATTTCCCACTGCGCAGTTTCTTTCCCCTTCCCCTCTCTCGAGCTGGAGGCGACCGTGGAGAGGGTGTGTGCGGACAACATGAGTGTGCAGGCCAACACCTTTCTACTCTCCTTGCCTCTACTCTCCTGTCCTTCACCCCCTTTCAGGAGCTGGAGGCGAGCATGGAGATGGTGTGTGCTGACAACATGAGTGTTCAAGCAACAGCATATGTAGCTGGCATGGCTGGCATTCCCTGGACCACGTACATCTCAGGGCTGCAGCTCACAGGCACGGTATGGCATGGGCGGTAGAACAACCAGGGCACAGGCAGGCGTTGTGGGCTAGGGTTTGAGAGAAGGGGGGATTTAATGCATGGCTGGCATTCCCTGGACCACGAACAGCTCAGGGCTGCAGCTGACGGGCACGGTATGGCATGGGCAGTAGAACAACCAGGGCACAGGCAGGCGTTGTGGGCTAGGGTTTGAGAGAAGGGGGGATTTAATGCATGGCTGGCATTCCCTGGACCACGTACAGCTCAGGGCTGCAGCTGACGGGCAAGGTAGGACATGAGTGGTGTCACGATCAGGGTGTAGGTATGGTGGGCTAGGGTTAAAAAAACGGGTGGTGGCGTAGAGGTTTAGGCACAGCTGGCATTTCCTGGGCATGGTGGGGAAGGAATTAGGGCAAGGGGATGGAGGAGTGTGTGGGTAAGGAATCATATTCTCTGGACTACCTTAGGGCTGTGGCTCACACTCACACACTCACACACTCTCTCATGCACACTCACACACTCACAGACTCACTCACACACACTCACACACACTCACACACTCACTCACACACTCACCCACACACCCTCACACACTCACACACACTCACACACTCACTCACACACACACACACACACACACACACTCACACTCAAGCTCTGGACATGGCCATATGATAGTAGTTTCGTTTTGAGTCGACTCAACACACACATGCGGACCGATGGTCCGTCTGTTCAAGCCTGATTTTTGGACGCCCTAAAAATAGACCCGTCACGCACATTGAGGCCGATGGTCCGTATGTTCAAGCTCTGGAGATGGTCATAGGGGTGCAGCTTGCTTGAAGCTAGGGACGTATGGCTTGCTTGCTGGTTAAGCGGTGAAGTGGTCTAAGGATAAGCAGCTGAGGGGTCCTTTCAGACTTACGGCATGCTGTCCTAATCCCCTCCCGGCGCCTCTTTTCACCGCCGAGTCTGGGACTCCCAGACTCCCAGGTGCATGTTGGTGTTGGGTTGAGGTTCTGCCGTGCTCTTCCGACTGCGGAGAGAGTGACACTGGTGTTCACAGGACTGCCTCAGATGTCATGTGTGTTTGTTTCCCCCCAACCGCCCCATCCTTCTCCGCTGCCCCCCCCCCAATCCCCACTTCCCCCAGATGCGTGTGGGGCTGCGGGTTTGAAAGACTCTCCCGTTTGTGGAGAGAGTGACTCTGAGCTTCACGCCGCCTCTGCAGGCGTCATATGTGCTGTCTAATTTCTGCCTATTCCCCCACACGCCCTCTTTCCCCACTGCCCCCAGATGCGGGTGGGGCTGCGGTTCTGAAAGTCGCTCCTGTTTATGGGGAGATTGACTCTGATCTTCACAAGGCCCTCGCAAGTGGCATGTGCTGTTTGTTTGTCCCCCCTCCGCCCCCTCTTTCCCCACTGCTTCCAGATGCGTGTGGGGTTGCGGTTTCGAAAGTCGCTGCCGTTTGTGGAGAGAGTGACTATTTCATTCGCGCGGCCGCCGCAGGTGTCGTGTGCGATCAAAGTGATGGGCGCCCTTGATGCTGCCAGCATGCCGCTCGTGGCGTCCTATGTGGTGCGTGCATGGGATGGATGGGATGGTGCGGTGTGTTACAATACGATATGCGTGTGCTGAGGTGCCCCTGGTGTCATGCATGATCATACTGATGGGCGCCCTTGATGCTGCCAGCATGCCGCTCGTGACCTCCTATGTGGTGCGTGCACGGCGAGGCATGTGTGATATGCTATGGTGCCATGGTGGCATTGTGGCATGGCATGGCATGACATGGGGTGATTGCTACATACTCTCGCCTTCGTATGCTGCTCGTGTAAGATTAGTGATGCGCTCGACCTTCAAATGCCGTTAACCATATTCGAACTGCTGACTCATGCAATGGTAGTCATTTCGGATTTATGCCATCGAACACCATCCCAACTCCTCCCTCCCCCCCTTCCTCCCCCCGGTTATTATTTCTTGCCACCAGGACTACACCCTTCAAAACGCCATCAAGTCGTCTCTCTGCTGGGTAAGCCTCAATCACCAGTCAGTGACTCCAAAACACAGTCCGTGCCATGCCATGTCATATTTTACAATGGCAGACTGTGTAATGCTATGTTTGTTATGTTGGTTGGACAATGTCATATCGTACCATGGCATACCCTATCATATCACATTCCATGCCATACCCTACCATACCACATACCATATCGTCATTCTCTATCATACCACACACCATATCATGCCCTATCACATACCATATCATGTTCTATTCTATCATACCACATGCCACATTTTACCGTATCGTACCCTATCATAATACCACATGCCATAGCACACCATATCTTAGCATATCCTACCATACCATACCATATCTTTCTGTGTCGTAGCATAACCCCTGAAGCCCAACCGCATGGTGTTGATGATGTCACATGGTGAGTGATGATGTCACATGGTGCATGATGATGTCACATGGTGAGTGATGATGTCACATGGTGAGTGATGATGTCACATGGTGCGTGATGATGTCATGCACCTGTGTGCCTAATGTAATGGTGCGGGATGGATACCACCGCCCCCTCTTGCCAGTGCCATGATGCTTACTGGTGTTCAGGTCAGATGCTCTCACGCTTCTTACAATCTACTGCCCGATGCGCTTGGTGATGGTGGATGTGGTGAGGGCAGCTGCCTTTGTGCTGAGAGTGCCGTTCGGTTGGGATGGTGGATGTGGTGTCAAGAGGTCCTGCTTGCACCTCCTCCCTCCCATTGCCCGCAGCCCAATCGCCTGGTGATGGTGGGTGTGGTGGGGGCAGCTGCGCTCGCGCTGAATCTGAATGCATTGGAGTTCAACCCTGTACCCTGTGGACCTGTGTTTCCGCTTGCTTGCAGTCCAACCGTATGTGGTGGGCGCAGCTGTCTTAATGCCCTGAAGATGAATCCCTTTGACTTGTTTCCCCCCCTGCCTGCAGCCCAACCGCTTGGTGATAGGGATGAGCAAAACCGGGTAAATACCCGACCCGACCCGGTTTTGACATACCCGACCTCGGGTCGGATATTTTCGGGTCGGGTCCGGGTCGGGTAACACCCCCAGGACCATTACCTGGATCCGGCCCTTAATGGCGGGTAATATAATACCCACCAGGCGGATCGGGGTATACCCGACCCGGTTTAGGCTAAAAGCGGGTATTGTTACCTGCCCATGAAAAAATGCCTGAACAACCTCTGTTTTACCCTCTGTTGCCATTGGTGTGTTTGTCATGGTGGCCCCCTGGGGTGGGCGTCAACAGCGTGGTCTTTAAAAAACAACCTAAACTGGGTCGGGTAGCGTTTTTGCCAGCATGAGAGGGGCGGTACCCGAAGTCGGGTATTCAACACCCGGCGGGTCGGGTACCCATTACCCGACATGTCGGGTAAGATTTCGGGTAACGGGTATCGAATACCCGCCCGGGTTACCCGGACCCGACCCGCAGGGTAATATTCGGGAATCCTGATACCCGACCCGCCCTAAAAGCGGATCCGGGTCCGGGTACCCGCCCGGGGCGGGTATTTTGCTCAACTCTACTTGGTGATGGTGGATGTGGTGAGGACTTGTGCATCTGTGTTGACTGCCCTGGCGTTTCATCCCGTTGGACCCGTGTCTCCTCTTGCCTGCAGCCCAACCGCTTGGTGATGGTGGATGTGGTGGGGGCAGGTGCGGTGCGCTGAATGCGTTGGAGGTCAATCCCGTTGGATCTGTGTTTCTGCTTTCTTGCAGCCGCCTGAATGCCCTGACGTATAATCCCTTCGACTTGTTTCTCCCCCTGCCTGCAGCCCAACCGTCTGGTGATGGTGGATGTGGTGGGGGCAGCGGCCGTTGTGCTGAGTGTCATCGTATTCAGTGGCATTGAACACCTACATTTGCCCCCTCTTCCATTCTCACGCCTGCATCCCAACCGCCTTTGCATTCAGTGCTGTTGAATGGTGTTGTCTTTGCACCTCGTCCCTCCCCTTTCCTGCAGCCCAACCGCCTGGTGATGGTGGACGTGGTGAGGGCAGCAGCCTTTGCGCTGGACCTGCCAGTGCCGCCTCCCACCCCCGAGGAGATCAGCATTGTCACCCCGCGAGCGGTCTCCAAGGGGAAGAGTGAGTAGCTTGGTGCTAGAGGAAAGAGTGAGTAGCTTGGTGCTAGAGGAAAGAGTGAGTAGCTTGGTGCTAGAGGAAAGAGTGAGTAGCTTGGTGCTAGAGGAAAGAGTGAGTAGCTTGGTGGTGCTAGAGGAAAGAGTGAGTAGCTTGGTTGGTGCTAGAGGAAAGAGTGAGTAGCTTGGTTGGTGCTAGAGGAAAGAGTGAGTAGCTTTGTGCTAGGGGCGAAGGGTGGGGGGTTTTCTGGTGGCGTCAAGAGTGATGAGCTTTCTGGCGAGAAAGAAGGTGGGTGTGGTGTGCGTTGCACTGGACCTGCCAGTGCCGCCTCCCACCCCCGAGGAGATCAGCATTGTGACCCCACGGGCCGTCACCAAGGGGAGGAGTGAGTCGCTTGGTGCTAGAGGCAATGGGGTGAGGAGTTTCCTGGTAACGGAAAAGGAGGGTTGCTGAGTGCTTTGGTGCTGCCTGCACCTGCCAGTGCCCCCTCCCACCCCCGAGGAGATCAGCATTGTCTCTCATCGACCTTACCAGTGCCCTCTCACTCCCCTCCTCCATCCCATCTCATCTCTCATCTCTTATCTCTCATCTCTCATCCCTCATCTCTCATCTCTCATCTCTCATCTCTCATCTCTCATCCCTCATCTCTCATCTCTCATCCCTCATCTCTCATCTTTCATCTCTCATCTCCCATCTCTCATCTCTCATCCATACCAGTGTCCGTGCTCTCTCCCCTCTAAGACACCCTCCCCCCACTCTCCGTCTTCCCCTCTCTTGATACCCACTGTATCCCCCAGGTGCCCTCTCTGCTCTTTCGAAGACATTTCGCTCCAAGAAAGGCAAGGCTCCAGCCGTGGCAGCTGTCGCCACGCTATTGGTCGAGGTCATTGAGGCAAAGGATCTCCTGGCAGCAGATTCGGGCGGCACTTCTGACCCGTACGTGAAAGGTTCGATCGGCGCTGCCCGGTTTCAAACCTCGGTCATCTCGAAAAACCTCAATCCACACTGGAACCAGAAGTTTGAGCTGCCCATCGCGGACTGGTCGCTGCCCGAGAGCTACACCCTGGTACTGCGCGTGAAAGACTACGACATGTTTTCAGCCAATGACGCGATTGGGCGGGCAGATTTGGACGTTAGTGCGATGAGGGGGGGTGGGAGGAAGGAGGAGTGGTTGTCTCTGGTGGATGGCGGGAAGGGGAAGATCCGAGTGGTCGTGGAGGTGAAGGAAGAGGGGGGGAAAGGGGCTACCGGTAGTAACGATTCCGATTTAGCCTCTCCTGCTGCTGCTACTGCTGCTGCTGCTGCTGGTGGTTATGGGACTTCTGCTGCAGTGGGTGGTCGTGCCGTGGAACAATCAGTCTCAAGTGGATCCACGTCCAGTTTGGATTCTCATCCCGTGTCTCCTGCCCGCTCAGACGACCCTGCTGCTGGTGCTGCGGCCACCACAGGTACATTACTCCCTCCTCAAAAAGTCAAGTCTATGCTGTTGGGACTGCTGCTGCTGTGGGTGGTGGTGCTGGGGAACAATCACTTTCAAGTGGATCCACGTCCAGTTTGGATTCTCATCCCGTGCCCGCTCAGATGACCCCGCTGCTGGTGCTGCGGCCACCACAGGTACAGCACTCCATAAAAAATATCTCCGATACACTTCCTCCTATCATTGTTTTCTTTAGGCATCTATTTTTTTTGAAATTCCTGCGTCCTGACTTTTGCATCGCCACCTTTTCTTTCTCTCGTTGAACATGGCTCAACCCTTCCTCTCCCCCCTCCTCCATCCCTCCCACCCTTCTCACTCCTACAGGCCCCCCTTTTCATCGACCTCCGAGGTTTCCCCCTCCCCATCTCTCCCCACTCCCTCCTCCTCTGGCTCCAAATCCAGCTGGTTCAAAGGGCTTGGTGGCACCAGCCACGGAAGCCTTTGAGTCGACTCAAAAGTCTTCCGCTTCCCTCTCCTCCACTCCTCCCATCCCCCCCTTCCCACAGGCGCCGCCCCCCCCTCTTCGTCTACCACCGAGGTCCCCCCCTCCCCATCTCTCCCCACTCCCTCCTCCTCCGGCTCCAAATCCGGCTGGTTCAAAGGCCTGGGTGGCACCAGCCGCAGCCGTGGCAGCCGCGGCAACGGCAACAGCAGCAACAGCAGCAACACCACCACCGCCACCACCACCACCGCCGCCGCCTCTCCCAAGGCTATGCTACTCGAGGGCACCAGCAGCAGCACCACCGCTCGGCCCACCACGCCCGAGGGGATCGTGCCCAGGTCTGCAAGCAGCAGCACGCCCAAGGGGGGCCCGCCTAGGTCCACCAGCGGCAGCTGGCCCTTCAAGACTCCCTCGCTCAGGCGCCTGGGGTCAGGGTCCGGTGCGGGGCTGGGCATTCCGGTGGCCACTGTTCACGTGGAGGTGATAGAGGCGGATTCTCTGGTTGCTGCAGATAAGACAGGTGAGTGCAATAGTGATGGGTGGTTGTCACGTAGATGCCAGGATTGCGACTACAGCTGGAGAGGTGGAGGACACTTGAGCATACCAGTGGCCCTTGCTCAGGTGGGGCCGCTGGCTGCAGTCCGACTGTGTGAAAGAGACACTGAACGAGACATTGAGCGCTTAATTGTGCTCGATGAGTCTATTTCTTAGGCGTCTCAAAAATCGTCGGACTGTGAAAGGGACAATGAACGCCTGGATGTGCTCGGCCCGCCTCTTGCATGGCCAAGCGTCTTCAATGTCTCTTCTGGCAATCAGAGCATAGCCAGGTGGGCGTGATATCTCTTCCACTCTGTCAGGCGTGTGTCTGTTGAATTGAGCTGAAGTTTCCAACCCATAGCTTTATCACCCTCCTCCTTCTGCTCCGTAACTCTTCTCTTCCCCCCCCCTGCACCCGCACCCTCTCTTTTCTCCTCCTCTCGGGTCCACTCTGATTTATTTCAAACAGGTACATCTGACCCTTACTTGAAAGGCTACCTGGGATCTTCCAAATTCTCCACCAAAATAATCTTCAAGACGCTCTGCCCACGATGGAACGAGAAGTTTTCGCTGCCCGTGAAGGAATGGCCCCCCACGGGCAGCCCGTTTTTGCTCAAGCTGAGAGTGTTCGACCGCGACATGCTGACTCAGCATGACCCCCTAGGGGATGCCTCCCTCGATATAATGCCATTGAGAGATGGAACAAGGCACGACCTCTGGGTGAAACTAGAGGATGTGACTACAGGGAGGGTGCATGTGGCTGTCACTGTGGAGGATCACCTGGGGGAGGCGGGGAGTGATGAGGAGGACAGCGAGTCGCTTGCAGGAAGGGAGGAGGGGGGTGATGGAGAAGCAGTTGCTCCTGCTGCTGGCCAGTTAGCACCTGTACCAGAAACGCCTGCCCAATCATCATCATGCTCATCCGAGAAGCTGGCCAGCAAGGCACCTGCTCTCACTACCATTCCATCAGGCGAACAGCTAAGTGCCATGGCCGCCTTACCTGCGGCCACTGCCTATGAGCCATCAACCCAACCCCCTGTTTCACCCTCCGATGCTGCTGCTGCTGCTGCTGCGGATGATTCTGCTGCCGCTGCTGGGGCGGAGGGGGGTGGAATGGCGCAAGGGGCGGAGAGGGACGTGCCCCAGGTGTGGGTGGCGCATGTGGAGATAATCGAAGCTCAGAATCTGATCATTGCTGACGTGTCAGGTGAGACATAAAGAGTGGTGTATGTGTCTTAGCGCTACTTTCCAATTTGTGTTTTTAAGCGCATTTCTCATTGTGCCATATCACTGCGTATAGTATTGCGAGCTTGATGAATCACTTTGAGTCATTCCGTCACGTGTTCCCCTTTTAGCAGGTTACTCGGATCCATACGCGGTTGGCAAGCTCGGCCAAGCCACATTCCAGACGAAGCACATTGCCCGCACACTCAACCCCAAATGGCACGAGGAGTTTCGGGTCCCTGTGGTAGACTGGGACCCTGACGCCACGTACCTCAGGCTTGTCGTGAAAGACTACGATACTTTCACTACAGACGATTCCATTGGAGAGGCTAAGGTAAACTTGAATGTGTTACGGGATGGGCAGCGGCACTCAGTGTGGTTACCATTACAGGGAGTGAAGAGCGGCAAGTTGCATGTGGCGGTTACACTTCTGGAGCGGAATGTGGAGTCGAATGTTGTGGTGCACGAGCTGATCCCCGGTTGTGTTATTGAGTGTTATGATGCCATGAAGCTTGTGCTCTAGATTCTACAGTAGGATTGATGTGTGTGCATTGTGGCATAGGGTTTTTAACCGAAGGAACCCATGTGGGGCTTTTAGCATTCTTGGTGGTGTAATAGGAACCCATGTTCACTATGTTAGTTTATAATCTTAAGGTATTTACCCATGTTTTGTCACATGCTTTGGAAGCTTGACATAACTATTTCTAACCAAAGCGTAGAAAGTTCTCTTCATTTCTAGTTATGTCCGTGGATAATAATGAGCGAATGCACTCCTCGCCTAGAGTCTTTGCTCTGTCATATTGACCGGCACGTGGCGGTGAATTTTGGCGACCAGTCAAACATTTTGACTTCCCCTGCCCCGACTCTTGCGGAGAGGGAATGTCGTGTGCAGGAGGCCTCACACTAAGCCCCAGGGTATCCTGGAAGAGGATAGAATCGCCTCTGGAGAACCCGTTAACAGACGGAATCCCCCTAAAAATGCCCGCTATCAAAGGGAATTGGCCACTACAAATTCGGCTTAGCAAGGAATCGAGGAGTGGGGGGGGGAAGCGGTTGGGTGGGGGGTGGGGGCTGGGAGGCGAAATCGCTACCCCCTACAGATTGCCCTACTACAAGTATAGCCCGCACAGATTCAAAAAGAAAGTTACTCGTTAGGCTAAGGAATCCCGCGAAATCGTTTCCGAAAGTTGGACGGATTCAGGAAAAATAGCCAGCACCGTAAAAAAACGTAATTGCTGGAAACGCTACGCTTAATTTCTCGAAATCAAGAACAGTTACCCTCTTAGCGAGAGCCATGGTCGTGTGTTGTATAGTTGTCACCCCTCCCAATAGCCTATCAATACGGCCAATGGGTGGGAGGCCAAAATATGTTTTCGTTTTTTTCCGCAGTCGCATGGAGTATTACACATAACCTGCGATATTTTCTATCCCCCTATTTCCCGGAGGTGCTAGTGCGAGGGTAGTCAGATCAAAAGCTATGTTCTAAGAGGCGGGCTAAGTATCCCCTGAAAAAAAAGGGACTTGGGTTACTAAGCGCAAGATGTTTAAGGTGGAACATTTCCCTGCTTTGGCGCTATCTCTTTTCGAAGTCTACGACCCACGTCAAACAAGTGGAGGCAGAGAGCCCGAGTCCGTAGATCCACGGGAAAGATACTTGTGGACCCAGAAACGGCCAGGTGACGAAGAAAATTTCCCAAACCCCGTTCCCCGCGGTGAAAATGTCGCAGGTTGGGTGTCCGTACAACCCACTGAAACAAACAACTCGCGGTGAGGAAAATGGCCGAAATTTATACTGTACGACGGATAGTAAATAAGGGCGCACTCTGCGCTCGTGTTATCCCAGCTTCCGGTCATCATTTGCCAGCATTTTGGAACTTCGGGTCTTCCAGCATGGGGCAAATCATGACCGGAATCCCGGATGACACGAGCCTGGAATACACCCTAGGTGTCGACATTTTCTGACACCGATTTTTTTTAATACACCCACATTCAGCAATTGAACATGGAATAACGGCCCTACATTCAGACTTGCCCCCAGTAATCCCCGTTCTCCTAATCCTGGGCACATGCAACAGCAATGCAGTCTGCCCTTACCCCCACCATTGCTGCCACCCGCGCCAAATCTCTCCAAATGAGTCCCCCCCGGCCCCGCTTCCCACCCCCATGCCTCACTTCGCCTCCTGTTTCCGCCAAGCCTTCCGCAAATCCGTTGTTCCCCTCCCGCTCTCCTTCCCCTGTGAGCCAGCCCTATCCGCTCCCACCCCTCTCTCTCCTCAGACCATTCCCCTTCTCCCCCCAACCTTCCCCTTCCGCCCGCTTCTTTCCATCACCCCGCCCCTCCTCCATACCGAAACCAACTCCTAGGTCTGTCTGCCTTTCCTTTTCCCGCCAGCCATTTTAGGGCCTGTTCTTTTCTTTCTTGGTCTATCCATGCCTGCGTTCCTCACCACACGCTTCAGGCGTCTCCCCGCTTATAGAATCCCGGCGAACCCGCAGCTCGCGCGTGCGGGCTGCCTCGAATTCTGTTCCAAGCCCCCAGGACGAATTTCGCCGCTGACTGCCAGCCAGCCTGGGATCGACTACTGTTCACATGTCGCACATGTGGAGCCGGCACTGCTGCTGCTGCTGATGGATGTCATTGTGCTTCCGATGCAGAGGCAGCTGGAAGAGAAACTCCAGCAGAGTTCGGAGAAGAACTTAGAGAATTCTTGAAGCAGCCATGGCCGTTTGTTGTGGTCCAACTCCTCTTGTCAAGCTCTTGAACCAGCCGTGCTTGACGACGAGCGAGTTACACATAACCTCCGTCGCCTGCGGAGCAAGTTACACACGACAGTCCCTTACGAGCCCTCCGTCGCGACACGTACTAGCAGTGTACACACAGCCAGTGCTCTCTCCCTGTTCCAGTTTCTACCTCTAATTAGCACGGAAGTAACTGTGCTGTAGTACAGGTGTACACAGTTGTACAGTACAGGTGTACAGTACCCGACCGTCGCGGCACTGTGCTCGTCAAGAGCCTTTCGAGTCTACTCCGAGTCGTCAAGGAGCAACCCGCTGCGGTGACCTTTTGGACGGCTCGATATCCGTTGTAGTCTGCTCTGCGAGTCGCGACAGATGAGTCACCACGCTTCCTCCAAGAAATCCCCCAAGCTCCCAGTCCCCTCTCCCCTCGCTCCGCTATCCGCCATTTCTGCCGTGCCGTGGTGATTGATGTGAACCAAGAATCGCCACCCAGTTCGTACCCAGCGTGCCTTGACTTCGAGTTCTAGGGACCCAAGAATCGCCACATCGCGGCAGTGCCGTTGGTCGTTTGCCCGTTCTTGCGAGTCGTTGCGTCGCGTCGTATCGCCGCATACTGGCCAGTGCTCACGCCGCAACGAGATACTGGCAAGAGCAGCACTTCCGCCACGGCAGACCCACAACGAGGGCCCTGCCAGGTCGTGCGTCCTTCTTTTCCGTTGCTCGCAAAGAGCAACGCTGCGCGTTCTTCTTCTTTTGAAGCCCCAGTTTTTTCCCGTCCCCGACGTCCCGACGTCCTTGATAAAGCCGTGAAGACGTTCAGTAAAGACGTGGTTCCCTTTACCAAGCCTTTCGCAGTTCCCAGGAGATCCAAGTTGGATAAAAATCAGCCCACCCCTGCGACCGGACCTTCCCGCATTCCCCTTACCAAGACTTTCGCTTCTTCTCTCTTTCGTCGCACCGTCCCGCCCGGGGGCCCTCCACCCGTTTCTACCCATCTCAACCGATCTCGCTACCCGTTTTTGGCTCCACACGGCCCAGAAGTTCATCTCTCCTAACACGAAGCGGCACTTATCCAATTAACTCGGAGTCCGTCCATGGCGCCTACAGCTCGCCCCGCCGGGAAGACCCGTCTTTCCGGAAAGACTCGCCGTGCCGCCGCCGCGTCGGCGCTCAGACCGCCCTTTCAACCGCTCCTCCTCATCCTCCTCTCGCTCCTACTCCTACCGGCCGCTCAAATCGTCTCATGTGCGGCGGCAGCGGCGGCGCCGGGGCCTCCGCGCCTGGTGGTGCCGATGAACGCGTCCGTGGGTGAGCTGCCGTCGCATCCCCGCCCTTGCTCTCTTTGCTGTCTGTGCTTTCTTCCAACGCTACCTCCTCTGCGTGTCCCCCTCTTCCCCCTCTTCCCCCTCCCCTCGGCTCGGCGCGCCTCGTCCCATGCCGTCCTCACTCCTCCTTGCTGCGTGCCCAACCCCGTCTTCCCCCCTTTCCCTTCTCTCCCCCTTCCCCTTCTCTCCCCTTTCCCCTTCCCCCCCCCAGTGCCCGTGCTGCTGCAGCTGCAGAACACCCTTGAGTTCGTGCAGTACAACTGGGCGGTTATTCTACCCAAGGTTCTCCGCTCATCCACGTGCGCCTTCCCCTCCCTCCCTCCCCTCCCCTTCTCTCCCCCTTCCCCTTCCCCTCCCACCCCCCCCCAGTGCCCGTGCTCCTACAGCGGCAGAACACCCTCGAGCGCGTGTAGTACAACTGGGCGCCGATAATGCACTAGCAACCGCCGCTTCCCCTCCTCATGCCCCTCTCCTTCCCCCCTTTCCCCCAGTGCCCGTGCTGCTGCAGCTGCAGAACACCCTCGAGCTCGTGCAGTACAACTGGGCGGGCGCGGGGGACTGCGTCGTGGGGGGAGAAACGGGGGGAGCGGCGGAGCCATTCCCGCCCATCCGGGGGAGGGCCGGTGCAGGAGCTGCAGGATGGGCGGGCGTGACGTGCGACGGACACGGCAACCCCACCCGCTTGGAATTCCCCCAGCAAGGGCTCACGGGCCACCTGCCAGCTGACGTGTCCACGCTGACGTCACTCACCAAGATGTAAGCACGAAGCACGGCGTCTGACGTCACCCGTGAGATGCTCGGAGCATGCGCAGCAGACGTGGCTCCTGGAAGAGTGGATCATCTCTTAGTGCGCCAACCTCCAGCCGTCGGCCGTTGCATGGTTGGCGATGGCCACTCGGGTTCTGATATCGATCATCTCGCCTGCTCCTGCTTCCCTACGTGCCTTTCGGTGTTTCCTGCCTTTTTTCTTGCCCGCACTGGTTTCTGACACAGCTCAAGAATCGTCTCGCCTATTCTTTCCTGCTTCCATTTGTGCCTTTAGCTGGTTCCTGCCCGCGCTGGCTCCTATCGCAGCTCACGATTCGTCTTGTGTGCTCCTGCCCCTGCTTCCCTTTGTGCCCTTTGCCCGTTCCTGCGCACAGAAACCTGCAGCGAAACCTCATTATAGAGCGACTCGATGTGTTTATCAAGCCCCTCGAAGGACTAACCAACCTGCAGCACTTGTACGTTGTATTCTGCCCCCCGCCCCCTTTTGTCTGCTCTGTCCCAGTGATCTCTCTGTTCATGGTTCCAGGTGCATTGTCCTTCATCACTTCTTTGCTCTTTTTCTGAACTGCGTATTCCTGGGCACATCTCACGTGCTATTCTTCTTTTACCTCTCATCCTTCCTTTCTTTCCTCCGTTTCTTTCTTCTCTACGTTTCTTTCACATCTCCGTTTCGTTCGTTCTTCCCTCCGTTTCCTCCTTACCTCCGTTTCTGTCACCTGCAGAGACCTCTCTTCCAATTTCCTCTTCGGCAGCATCCCACCGACTATCACTGCCTTTCCCCGGCTCACAGTGCTGTGAGTATTCCTTTCCATGCATCTGGGCCGTCCGTTTC